TCCAGCAAATTTCTCAGCAGAAACCTTACAGGCTAGGAGAGAATGGAATGACACAATGATATATTCAAAATTCTGAAAGACAAAAACTTTCAGCCAGAATACTTTATCCAGCAAAAGTATCCTGCAGATATGATGGAGAATTAAAACTTTCCCAGATAAACAAAACCTGAGGGAGTTCATTGCCACAAGACCCACCCTACAAGAAATGATCAAAAAGGCCCTCAAATCTGAAAAAAAAAAGGGAGGTGGTTTACAAAAGACTTGAGCTAGGAGATAAATAGGCAGACAGTATCATAAAATTACAGCTCTCTATCAAAACAGATTAGCAAACCCTTAATTATAACATTAAAGATAAAGGGAAGGAAAACATCAAGAATAACTATAATCACTTCATTTTAACCACAAACTCACAACACAAAATGGAATAAGTTGTGACAACAATAACTTAGATGGGGAAGAAGAAATGGATGGAAGCTGCTTAGACTAAGGAAATAGGAGGCTATCAGAAAATGGACTATCGGACCTATGAGATCTTTTATACAAACCTCACTGTAACCACTAAACAAAAAAATCAAACCAGAGTCACAAATGATAAATAAAGAGAAAACCATCACAGAGAGCCACCAAACTGAACAGGCAGTCCAAAATTCACAAGAGGAGAAGCAAGGGAAATTCAGAAAAATTGGAAAATAAGTGATAAAAAAGCAGCATTTAGCCCTCATATATCAATAATAACTCTAAATGTAAATGGATTGAATTCTCTGATGAAAAGATAGAGAGTGGCTGGATGGATTAAAAAACAAGACTCAACAATATGATGACTTCAGGAAACACAGCTCTAAAGACACCACAGGCTCAGAGTGAAGGGATGGAAGATAATACTCCAAACTAATGGCAAACAAAAGAAAGTAGGTGTTGCCATACTTATATTGGACAAAGTAGACTTCAAGATAAAAAGACAATGAGATGAAAAGACAGGCAGTACATAATTAATGATCACAGGGACAATCTAGCAAGAGGACATAACACTTATATGTGCACCTACCACAGGAGCACCAAAGTACATAAAACAACTATTAATTCACATAAAAGGAGATATAAAGAGCAACACAATAATAGTAGGGGACCTTAGCACCCCACTTACATCAATGGATAGATCATCCAAACAGAAAGACAACAAGGAAATAGTGGAACTAAATGAAAAACTAGACCAGATGGACTTAATAGATATATATATAGACCTTAGCACCCTACTTACATCAATGGATAGATCATCCAAACAGAAAGACAACAAGGTAATAGCAAAACTAAATGAAAAACTAGACCAGATGGACTTAATAGATATATATAGAACATTCTATCCAAAAACAGCAGAATACATCTTCTTCTCAAGCGCACATGGAACATTCTCAAAGATAGACCATATGTTGGAAAGCAAGGAAAGACTCCATAAATTTAAGAAGCTTGAAATCATATCAAGCATCTTTTCCAAACATAATGCTACAAAACTAGAAATCAACTACAAAAAAAAAAAAGCTGGGAAAGGGACAAAGATGTGAAGACCAAACAACATGCTACTGAACAACCAATGGACCACTGAAGAAGTTAAAGAAGAAATCAAAAAAACATCTGGAGACAAATGAAAATGAAAATACACCATACCAACTCATATTGGATGCAGCAAAAGCAGTCCTAAAATGGAAATTCATAGCAATACAACTCCACCTTAACAAACAAGAAAAATCTTTTTTTTAAAAAAGATTTTATTTTTCCTTTTTCTCCCCAAAGCCCCCCATTACATAGTTGTATATTTCAGTTGTGGGTCTTTCCAGTTGTGGCATGCGGGATGCTGCCTCAGCATGGCTTGATGAGTGATGTCATATTCGCACCCAGGATCTGAAGTGGCAAAACACTGGGCCACCGAAGCAGATCATGTGAACTTAACCACTCAGCCATGGGACCGGCCCCTCAAGAAAATCTTAAATAATCAAGCTTAACTACACCTAACAGAACTAGAAAAACAAGAACAAACAAAGCCCACAGTCAGCAGAAGGAGGAAAATAATAAAAATTAGAGCAGAAATAAATGAAATTGAAACCAAAATAACAGTAGAAAGGATCAATGAAACTAAGAGAAGGTTCTTTGAAAAGATAAAATTGACAAACTCTTAGCCAGACTCACTAATGAAAAAAGAAAGAAGGCTCAAATAAATAAAATTAGAAATGAATGAGGAGAAATTAAAATGGATACCACAGAAATACCAGATATTATAAGAGAATATTATGAAAAAGTATATGCCAACAAATTGGACAATCTAGAAGAAATGGATAAATTCTTAAACTCGTATAACTTCCCAAAACTCAATCGAGAAGAAATAGAGGATCTGAATAGACCAATCACAAGTTAAAGAGATTGAAACAGTAATCAAAAACCTCCCCCAAAATAAAAGTCTAGGGCCAGATGGCTTCTCAGGAGAATTCTACCAAACATTCAAAGAAGATTTAATACCCAGCCTTCTCAAACTATTTCAAAAAACTGAGGAAGAGGAATGCTTCTAAACTCATTCTATACGAGGCCAACATCACCCTGATCCCAAATCCAGACAATGACAACATAAAGAAGGAAAATTATAGGCCAATATTGCTGATGAAGATAGACGCAAAAATCCTCAACAAAATATTGGCAAACCAGATACAGCAATACATTAACAGGATCATACACCATTAACAAGTGGGATTTATACCAGGGATGCAGGGATGGTTCAACATCTGCAAATCTATCAATGCCATAACAAGAAAATGAGGAATAAAAACCATATGATCATCTCAATAGATGCAGAGAAAGCATTTGACAAGATCCCACATCCTTTTAAAACAATAAAGTGGGTATTGAAGGAAAGTACCTCAACATAATAAAGGCCATATATGACAAACCCACAGCCGACATCATACTCAATGGGGAAAATCTGAAAGCCATCCTTCTGAGAACAGGAATAGGATAAAGATGTCCACTCTTGCCACTCTTACTCAACGTAGTACTGGAGATTTTGGAAAGAGCAATTAGGCAAGAAAAAGAAATAAAAGGAATCCAAATTAGCAAGGAAGATGAGAAACTCTTGCTTGCTGTTTGCAGATGACATGATTCTATATATAGAAAACCCTAACGAATCCATTGGAAAACTATGAGAAATAATCAACAGCTACCGCAAAGTTGCAGGATATAAAATCAACATACAAAAATCAGTTACATTTCTATACTCTAATAACAAACTAACAGAACTCAAGAATACAACCCCATTTACAATCACAACACAAAGAATAAGACATCTGGAATAAATTTAACCAAGGAAGTGAAAGACCTATACAACAAAAACTATAAGACATTATTGAAAGAAATCGATGAAATAATAGGATAATAGATGTGGCGGTAAATTCTTGTGATATTGTCTTCTGATGGCTTCCCTTTTCACAGTGAAATGGGAGTAAAGTCATTAGCTGAGAATGAGGATGGAGGAGACAGAGCTGGAGAGAAAACATTGGGCACCATTAAAGGCTCTCTTAACATCCTCAATTTGAAGGGCTGGGTGTTTTCTCTAGCCATATTCAGATACAAAGGTATAGGTGCTGGAGAAGTCAGAGAGTTGGATTAACCAGAATGATGGTTTTACCAAGTGAGAGAGAGGCAAAGGAGCTAAAGGTAGATGCAATGATCATGATAACAGGATACTGACACACTATAAGCTAGGTTAGGAAGAAAGAGAACATGAAGGGGGAGAGGGACAGTGAAAAGATCTTAAGATAAATGAACTGAAGGTCCTGATGGGATCAAAGAATTGTTGGAGGTGGAATGCTCAAGGGAATGGACTGGGAAGAAAGGAGACAATGGACAGATGGATGTTTGGAATTGAATTTACGGACAGGTGGTAGTTACTAGTAATGATTAGGGTAAGAGATTAAACGTGGACAAGAGTGAAGTAGGGAATACGTAACAAAGAGTCTGGCCCTCCAATATATTTTGACCCTTTCACACTTCTTTTTTTTTTCCCCCTCCCCAAATCCCCCCAGCACGTAGTTGTGTATTTTTAGTTGTAGATCCTTCTAGTTGTGGCACATGGGATGTCGCCTCAACGTGGCCTGACAAGTGGTGCCATGTCCGTGCCCAGGATCCGAACCAGCGAAACCCTGGGCCACGGGAAGTGGAGCACGTGAACTTAACCACTTGGCCACGGGGCTGGCTCCCCCTTTCACACTTCTTATTCCTTACTTTATAACTCTAAAACCCACTTCTTTCTATTTTATCCTATTGCTTCTCTTTAATCAATTGGTATGCGAGTTCACAGGTTTCTAATTTAAATGTGACTGGAAAGTGACTTAAAATATATATGGTTATTACCATATGACCTAGCAATTCTACTCCTAGGTACATACTCAAGAGAAGTGAAAACATACATTCATACAAAAACTTGTGTATGGATGTTCACAGCAGCATTATTCATAACAGCAAAAATGTGGAAACAAAGTCTGTCAACTGATGAATGGATAAACAAAATGTAGTATATCCATACAATGGAATATCATTTGACTATAAAAAGGAAGTTTTGATACATGTTAGAACATGAATGAACCTTGAAAATATTGTGCTAAGGGAAAGAAGTCAGACACAAAAGGCCACATATTGTATGATTTCATTTATATGTAATGACCAGTATAGGCAAATCCACAGAGATAGAAAGTAGATTAGGGGTTGCCAAAGACTGAGGGGAGAAGGGGGCTTGGGGAGTGACTGCTAATGGAAAAAGGATACTCTTTTGGGTCATGAAAATGTTCTGAATTTAAATAGTGATGATGGTTGTACAACTTTGTGAGTATATTAAAACCCATTGAACTGTTCACTTTAAAAAGGCGAATTTTATGGTATTTGTCTTCTATCTTTAAAAAGTCCCCATAAAACTCTGCATTTGGATCTTGCAATTAAAAGGTCTAGAGTTAGATCAGTCTTACCTTAGCAATGCAAGCTGGACAAAACCAGTCCCCATCTGGTATAGTCGTAATCTTGGGTCTATGGCAGTATGTATGACAGCCTTTGTCACAGCCATCACAAAGGAGGAGCAGTTCTTCATTATCTCCCTTTCGACAGATCTGGCAATACTATAATATATGAAAAATCATTTGAAATTAACACTCTGCTATGAATAATAGTCATTGGGATATTAAACATACAATAATTCCTAATTTTTATTAGTAATGAACATTCCGCTTGCTAACAAATATACAGTAGCCATACACATCTATGTATCTCTCATTACACAGATATGGACCACATGACGGGGTGAGCAGTTCAATTGGGGTAAATGCACATTTCAGGTACACTGCAAAGAACAAAGCTAGAGGTTGAATGCCTGCACACACTTCAGAAGCATGTACACATTAACATATGGAATAATTAACATGACATTAGAGCACATAAAGCAATGAATAGCTTTAATACATGGTGTTTTAATTTTTTAATATATTTCATCTTTTGCTTATCTTAGCATCCTCATGATATCCTGAGAAAGAAATAAGTAAGAGTTAGAGTAATTTTTGAAATCAAAATTAGGAAACTTGTATTAGTTACAGAATTATATACATAATAATAAAAAGATATCCCTCTATTTTGACTAAATTATCCATCTATTTTTTTGTGATTGATATAAAAATGTATCCAAACCAGGAAACTTTGGAAATCAACCCAATCAAACATGTGTCATAAGTGCAGAAAATGGATCCTACAAAATGATTTCTAATGAAAAAAATATTGATACAATAAATTAAATCAAAGAATTTAAGAAAGGTTATGATTTATTTTCTAGAACTAAAAGTAAAATTATTTCTTTTCTGTTGACAAATTTCTAATACCATTAAGAACTTTAAAATCTGTAAAGAGAAGATTTTTTTCCCATGCATACATATTCTGTATAAGAAGTTTCACAAAGAGAAAGAAGGAAAGTTAGACAAGTAAAAACTTTCAAGATGGCTTAAAAAACAGTAAGTACCAACATTATATTTTGACAATTTATATTCCCAGTCAGTAGAAAATGTCCTGCAATTAATATTTTAAAAAATGAAAATATTTAAACTGTAAATCATTTATACTAATTCAAAGTTATGTATTTATATACTCTTAAAAACAAAATAGCTTAACTGTTCAAACTTAATTTGTTTAATTATCAATACAACATTAAATCTTAATCTGGAAAGTCTAAAATAGTTGCAATATAACTTAATATGTATACCAATGATAGCTTAAGAATCTTATCAAAATGGCAGACACACACTATTCAACTTAACAAATATCTATCAAGCATATGTAATACATATGTAACAGTAAAAGTGGCATGTGTACTAAGAGCAAAAGCAGCAGAGTTTAACGTTCCAACAGAAAATACTTATTTTATGACTTTTCTTAATATCACATCATTAAATACATTAATATGGTGTATTTCTCCAAATTTGAGTCAAATTTTTAAAACTTCTATTGAAAAACACTAAGAAACAACATTTGGAAGGTTATATTTAAATCCCCATAACAACAAAATTTAAAAGTCATATTCAGGAACATTAAGTAAATTCTCACCGTTTTCTGCAATAGATAATTAAAAATACTATAAAGTCTGTCTTACACCTCACATTTATTATTTAAAAGTAAAATTATTTTCAGATACTTATTAAGAAAAGGTGGCAAATATCAAGTTGATAACACTTTTGAAAAATCACAATAATAGCTTGCAATATGTAGAGCAAATGTATTAATACTTGGTTTTAACTCCTTTGCTACCATAGTAAAAAATGGTGGGTGCTGCCTATTGTTTCACAACAGTATGAAGCATAAGGTGGGTAGAGAATTATCTGGAGGCAAATTCTAACAGCTCTTTCTTTCTTGGTAAGCTTGGTCTCTGGCAAAGAGGGTATTTCTAAAGATATTGAGCACTTTAACATTAGGACATAAGACCATTATAGGCACTGTTACATTTCTAATTAAAGATTATAAAGTTCTCATTAATCTTTGAATATGAAACTCTGCTTTCTTTTTAAGGTAGTTTCATAGGAAATAATGTGTTATTAAACATTAAAAAAAGAAAAATTATAAGAGATGGAGTTAAATAATGATATGTGTATATTAATACCATGGAAAAGGTTACGACTTTGCAGAAACTGAAATAAAGTTTTAGGTTGCAGAAAGTAAGTATACTAATATAAAGGCAGATTTTGGTACAAGTTTTGGGTTTCTGTGTATAGGTTATAACAAAACTGACCAAACGATGATTGTTTTGGTGTAGATGAGAAAAATAACTGTACCAATTTCATTTTGATATAGGAATTCAATCTTTTTTGATCATTATGGCCTACATTTCACCAAATATATTTGTCTACAGTGACTTTAAAACTGGTTTTAATAATAATTTTTAGAAGACAAATTATTTTTACCTGGTAAAAATAGTGCTGGACGAACTGAGCAATACCTTAAAACTTACGGTAAATTCTAATCCAGACTAGGAAAGACCCAAATTTGAGCATACTGTGAAAACTGCAGATTCTTTATGCCATGGACATTTTAGAAAGAAGTGAAAAACCACAGAAGAAACCAAATTTATTTGTATAGAATGAATATGACATTGAGTAGTCTAGGCATAGAGGGAAAAATGAAGGAAAGAATGCTAAATTATTTAAGGATTACTTCTTTGGGGAACGACTGTTTTAAGTAAAGGAATTTTATCCTTATTCATTCATGAAATCTCAAATGTTTGAATTTTAAAGCTAATCTGTAATTCAAAAGCAAATGTTAAAATAATTCATAAAAGTCTACATATAATAAGATATTTTTATATATGATACATAAGAGGCAAGAGGAACACATACATCATTTAAAATAAATATCTCTCTGGAAAACATATGAAATAAAGCTTTTATTTTGAACATATAGCATTTGGTACCTGGTACAAAGTAGAGGCCACTACATGAAAATAACTAATTGGGCTTGAACAAAGAAGCTGAAAAACCAGTTCTCATTATAAAAGACTAAAAGATCCACTCTTCATGTCAACTAATGTCAAATTATGTCATATCATGCAATGCCAAATACATGATATCAGTGCATAAAGTAAGAGTTCTCTGCTTATTTTGTATTTATTAATCCAAGTATTTTAGCATTAAAAAAATGAAAACTGATAGAAACATAAAGACACTTTAGGAACGCAGTGAATATGTCGCAGGTAATGTTAGCAACTGGAATGTTTACAAGAGTGAAAGGCCTTCAAGATGTTTAGATTAACAAACAACTATTATGTTGACAGAATGTAGAAGACAACTTCAGTCAGAGTTATAAACAATATTCAAAGGAGGGAGAATCAAGATTTTAAAAAATAAAAGTAACACATTTGGTAGGTTCCTTGAAAAAGTTCAAAATAAGGAGGAAAATATGAAACTACACAGCACTCAAGAATTAAGCACTCTCAAGTACAGCATACATTATTTTGACAATAAGTAATGTATAATTAAGAAGGATCTGGAGGTTGGAAAAAAACAGAACAAAGTAAATTAGTTATAGTATTTCTTAAATAAAAACACTTACAACTTTCATAATTGATTTTTCCCATGCTATTGATTTCTGTAACTGCTGAATGCACAGAGCTACCTGTGCAGCACTGCGAGCTTCTGATAATGCCCTTCTCCATAACCTGAGCCCTGGAGCAATATCCTCTTCAATTCTGCATTGAAATATAGAAAAATTAAGTAGGTCATGTCTACATTTACAGTTACCGAATGTGAAACAATCATCACACTGAAAGCCAAGCAATGACAAAAACACGTAACAGCCAATAAGTATAAGGTTTAAGCAACTAAATTGATGTAGTGCACAGACTGTGGCTACGTGCCTCAAAGCTTAGTCACAACCAGGTAAATGTAAGATCACTTTGCAGGATTATCAACGCACATAACAAAAAAAAATGTTTTTACAAAGCACCATGCAAATAGCATGATCCATATGGATCACAGACATACAAGAAGATACATAGATAACAGGCAATAGAAAATAGGCTCCAATTAGCAAAGAAGCACAATAATTTTTCAAGTTAATCTCAATAACCTACCCGTCACCATCACCACTAATGGATGGTGCAGGAGCAGGGACAGTAACTGTGCCCACATTATCCAGTTTGATCTGAATGGTGGTACTTAAGGGGCTCTTCAGATACCTTCTTTCAATGTTCCGCTCCAAATCAGCCAGCCTGGTTACAGCTATATCTAGGGGGTTGTCACTCTTCCGTTCTAGTGCACGTGCACTGCTTTCTTCTTCGCCAGTAAATTCTCCATCATGCTCCTTGCACAATTTAGAAAATGACTTATGTTCAAAATATACCAAGTCCTCCCTTTCTGATGCAGGCTCTGGACACATCCAACCCTATATATCAAGAGAATAACGTTATTATGGTTTCCTCCTAAAATGCCTGCTGGGTGAATTACCTTTACTTAAAATACAGCAGCAGACACCAGCAGATCTTTACTAAAAGTTTTTACCTTGTGTTTCCTAATGCTAGGTAGAAACAAGAACAGAAAATTAAATGAAACAGTTGTAAGTGCAGTTTAAAGAAGGAAATTTAGTAACTTTTGATATTATGAAAGGTATGATGAAAAACAGCAAAGTACTCTGAAGACTAAATGTTTATTAATTTCAAGGGACTACTGAAACGGAAACCTCTCCGTAGTCTCTGAACTTTGCTCTTCCTTCCCATTTTCATTCCTTCCACCACTCTTCTGTACAGGTCAAAAATGTACTCACCATTTTTCCTTTGGCCTCAGGAGCTTTGCATAGACTGTTATGTTTGTCTGAACAGCTTTTCCCTGTTCCTCTTTACCTAGTTAACTCCACTCACCCTGCAGCTCTCATGTTAAAATCTACTTCCTCAGGGAATCCTTCCTTGACCTCCTTTAGGAGGTAAGTTTCTCTATGACAGCTCTCATAGGACCATATAATACTCCATAGCCTTGTGACAGTCACAATTTTATACTACTGTGATTATTTGATTAACATCTCTCTACCTCTAAATTCCATGAGGGCCAGGACCATGTCTGCTATTATTCATTTTATCTCCAACACAGTGAAGGCAAATAGTGGGCACTCAATACATAGATGTTGATTGAATAAATGAATGACCTTGTAACTCAGTTTGCTTATATCGATCCTCTAGCTCAAAATCCTTCAAAGATTCCCTACTGTTTAACAAAGTCCAAACATTTACCACGACATTTGAGTACCTCAATCTACCTCTTTCTCTCATGTTCCCATTCATGCATCCTACCCTGCAGTCAAATTTCATGCCTTGCCACTCCCCAAACATATCCTGGTGTTCTGCTCACGGTGTTCACTCTTGCTAGTACGGTATTTCCTGTTCTCTGACTCTCAAAAGCATACTCATCTTCTCAAGTTCCATCTTGACTTCTACAGGAAATCTTCCCTGATCTTTCTCTTGTCTCCACCAGAAGTTGCATAGTATTCTTTTTCTAAATTTATGCATGGCTTTGTACTTTTCTGCGGTCAGTTACTAGATTTTGGAGAGATGTACACATGTCTTATCTCCCTATTATATGGCAAGCTTTATGAGGGCAGAAACCACATTTTACCCAATTCCGTGGTATCTACTGGCTGATGTGGAATAGATAGCAAATGCATATTAAATGAAAAATAGAATATTCTTTTTATTAAATTTCTTTAGGGATAATTATTTTATCTTATATATTGGGGTCAATTCTTCCTCTTTAACTCAGTAGAACATTTATATTTAGAAAGTAAGGATGGAATTATGAATAGTATACATAAGTGCATTAGGTACCAGTTATGTCAAATGAACTTCATTCCCTTATTTTAAAAGGGATACTAAGTTGCTAAATCGAGGGAACCCTGTAAACATAGTATATCTTGATTTCTGCAAGGCAACTAATGAGACAAAAAAATGAAAACTAGATTAGAGTTAGAGAAATCTAGACGGTTGAAAACTATATCCAAAGAATGGTAATTAACAGAGCTTATCACCTCAGAAGAGGTCCTCAGTGCCAATGTCCAAAGGTTCTATATTTGTCCTGTTAATGCACTTACGCATAACCTGGTTGATTGCTATTAAATCTTCAGGTGACTTAAAACTAGGAAGGAAGTTCAATATTCTGTACGACAGGACTTGATAAAAATAGTTCCATATGCTGAAATATGGAAAATATTTCAAAAATCAAAATGAAATTATTATGAAATGAAAAATATCAAATGAAATTAATGAAACTAGAACAATGATAAATGTAAATTTTAGCTTTCAAGTTTGAACAACTGATTACAGAAATACCACATGTGATATAACTCACTTACAAGCACTTTGAAAGAGGCCCAGAGATTTTTTTATAGTGCATACTCAGTGTAGCAATAGTTACGATGTGCGTGCTAAAAAGCTGTTACAAATTCAAATTGCATTAATAGAAGTATAGTGCCAGATTAAGGAAAGTAAAGGTCCTATGCACACATTCAGACAACTCTATGTACACTTATGGGTACAACATTTTAAGAAGGATATTGACACTGGTGTTTATTCAGAAGACAATTATGGACATGGAAACCATTTCATAGGACCAACAGTTGAAGGAATTAACTAGTTTGCAAAAGAGAAAACTTAAAAAGAAATACAGGAGCCATCTTTAGAGGAGCTGAAAGAGTGATTAGGCTTTTCGTATACTTTCAACAACAGAACTAGGACTAGACGTGCAGATTTTTCTACAATATAAAAAAAGAATTCCCAAATTATTAGCAAGCTGGAGTGCTAAAATATTAAAATAGAAATGAATGCACTTAAGTAGTCCCAGGCCACCTGCTTAAGGTGTCTTCACAATGGCTAATTCCCCAGGCTAAACACATAACTCTATTTTCTTTTTAAGAAAAAAAGCATCATAAACCTTCTATAGATATTAAAATAACGTTTTGTGGTTATTTTCATCACTTGTGTTTTTAGACTCTTCAAGACTAATATAACTATAATTCATTTCTTAGAATAATACAGGATAATTCAGTAATACCTTATTAACAGGATGCTAAAATATCCCATTTAAAAAACAAATTCCACTTATCTTAGCCTCTAAGAACACAGCCAAGAACATCTAAGCAGACAGTAACGTGACAAGGTCAATGCACCAAAATCTGAGTATATCTCCAGGAAAATGTTTCAGGCCCATGCTCTGACTTTATACATAATTTTAAAAGCTTGATGATATGCTTCCCAAACCAATAGCCAATTAGAATTGGCAAGTTAGATGGGGGGAAGTTGGAGAAAAACAGGGCTAGTAGGACCAATCCAATTTAAACCAGCAAGTGGTAACAACTGACCACGAGAGATGAGAAAGACTATAGAAAGTAGATGTAGCAGTTTAAACAGCAAAGCATACAAGGATCATTTAATGTAGGGGCAAAACCTCTTCAACATTTCCCGAGGGAATCATTATCTAACAATTGGTCTTCATTCGATGATCTTGTGTAACCAAGATAATAATCAAACTCATTATTCTCAAGTAAGAAGGCAGTGTAATGCATAACATAAGGGATCCAAAAAACATGTTAAAATATTATGGCACTAAATGGAATAATTTTCATTTCTCCAGAAAATTAACCTGTACGCAAGACTTCATTTGTTGAACATGCCAGATGAATGAAGCAATTTTATATTGTATTATGGTACCAAGAGGACGATACATATCGTTTGCCAGCACAATACTTTCAGCAATAATAAATTTTTGCTTCCCAAAGTTAGTAATTATGTTTGTGGCAAGAAAAGGATATTTGATTAGCTGTGGAAAACGACAGTTTTCGGAGATCCTCAAAAGTTTCCAATTGTCAGCATTAAAGTAATTATGAAGCAAAATTTTAACCATTGGACGGCATAGTATTATGGCTTAAGTTTCTCACTCTCAATAAAATGAAATATCAAATCAAATTACATGGAGACTACATTTTCCACGCCTTTTCATGTGTCTGTCTCACACTTATTCATCATCTATCCATTCAGTCTCAGAGACATCACCATATTATCAATTGAGAAGACCGTTACACTCCTCTTTACAAAACCAAAAATTCTTGCATAAAGGTAAAGTTTTCCTTTCGCCTGTCCAGTGGAAGCCACTTCTAATCACTGCTTGTGACATGGTAATAATACCCAGTAGATAAATTAATTAAAACTTTACAAACATACCTAGGGTGTGTGTGAGCATGTGTATCATGATATAAGGTATATTTGGGTATATCTATATTCTCCAATTTGAAGTTATATAGAGTAAAAGTCTGACATATAACACGGCTTGTATACAAGGGAGGTCCTGGTCCTATGTGAAACACTATAGTAGGAGTCTGATAGAGTATTACTTCTATCACAAGTAAAACTGTGAAATTCTGCTTGTGGTAAAGAAATGCATACCAGAAATGATATTTTTGAATACCATTAAAGACACAGCAAGATTTAGTAAAAAGAACACGGGCTGTGGAGTCAGACAGACTTGGTTTGACTTCACATTTAGTCACTTACTATATGACCACCGGCAGCTTACTTACTCTGAGCCTTGTTTCTTACCTGTAAGATGGGGGAAATTAATTCAGGATCGTTTTGAGAATGAAATGAGATAAAGTGAAAACATTTAGCACAGTACCTGGCATATATCAGGCATATAATAAATATTAGTTACCTTCCATTATCCTAAAAAAAGATTTTATTCCAAGTCAATTTTACCTTTACTTGCAAACTTGCTGATGCAACCCTCCTTTCTAGATCTTCTACCTGTTGAAGAACACTCAAATCCATGTCCATTGCTTGTTCTTCCACTGACCAGTTCTCCACAATATCTCGAGTTACCTGGTTTTCTTCATTTTCATTTAATTCAATAATAGCAACTACATTGGAAAGGAAATTAATTTTAAAATCCACTTTATCCCTCAATGATTTCTTCCAGAAAAGTGAATAAAATTCCAGGGGTAACATGTATGGGTAACCTAACACACACAAATGCACTTCTGCACATGCAGGAAGCTTACTCTTAAAAGTTGGAATCATCTTTTTTTAAGAAACAAAACAATATGTCTGCAGGTTATAAAAAATTATAAGAAAGTAATACCAATTTAAGAAATGTACATAGTTACTGTTTGTTGAGCAAAATAGAAAAAAAAATGCCTATTAGTAATACGTTAAGAATTAAGACACACTAAAATATGTTTTAAGATCAAAGAATGAATTCTCATAACTAGGCAGGAAAGCAGAAATCTGTTTTAGGTACATACCATCCTTATTTTTGATGCAGGCTTGAGTAATATAATCCAAGTGTTTCTGAATTTGTTTTTGTAATGCCTTTTCTCTTATTCCTCTGAGATGTAGCACTTTGAGCAAAGCTTTTAGGTCCTCTGGGTCAATAATTCTCCACCAACCAAACTGCATTTCTAAGTCAAGATAAATATGTAGATCTTTTACAAATATTTTGAATAGGAATTAATGACACAATGCAAATCAAAAGATTTTTGACTATGCATAAAACCATCAAAGATTCAGTTATAACATAGGAAGCTCTAACAATGAAATAAAGTAAGTGGCTATAAACCATCTCAGTGTACCTACCTTCTGGAATAGGTTTTGGACTAGGAAAATCTACTGGTTTTGCTACTTCAACAGCTGCAGGTTGAGTTGAAGAGACTTTTTCAGTCTGTGGTACTGGAGATTCACTTTTATTTGAAGCAACATTGGGAGTCAAGAATGAATTACCATTTCCTTCTGATAGTCCCAACCCTGATCCCAGACTGGGTAAAGGTGATGTAAATGGAATATTGGAAGTAAGCACACCAGTGGGCCATCCACAAAACTGGAGTCCCATCATAGATACTCCGCTTTTCATCTGCAAAAGACAAAAACAAAATGAAACAACATTGTAACAGTAGAAGTTAGGGAAAATGTTTAGAATCTGAAATTATTTTTAAAATTCTGAAAAAATATTCTTTCACTTATCCTGATTAAAGGAAAACTAAATACAGTAGCAACAATGTTAAATTCCATGCTCTTTTTTGCTCCCCAAAGTAACTGCCTTTCAGATATACTATAACAGTAGTAAGTTAAAAAGTAATTAAAGAAGCCTTTGCCTTAGACCTAGACTAGAAGTTGGTAGTTCTGATGGAGTCTGGTGATAGCAATTCTGACTCTTTTCAGTTTCCAAACTGTGGCAAGGATAATACAAATATTCAACTGATTCCCTTTGAAAATCTTCAGGGGGCCAAAGATTAAATAAAGCAAATAAAAATGAGTTACAATTAGCAGTACTAACCTGAAGAGGTGATAAAGCAAATGCATTTAGGCCAACAGGATTCTGGGCAGAAGAGGGTCCAGGAAGAGGAGCAGGGGCAGGCGAAGGTGACTTAGACGGCGGCTGGGACTGAGGGGTCACCAAGGAAGCAGTTGGCGTACCGGCATGGGCAAGTGAAGCGTCATCACAGGGTGCTCTTGGCAAAAGACTAAACCACTGTTTATTCTTTTCAGTCAGCGTTTTTAACAACTGGTCGTTGGGGAGAGGACTGTAGAACTTCCCTGGACCACCTGAACCAGTGTTGAACAGATTATTAGAGTCTGTCTTTTCCATGCTGCTTTGTGTTGCTGTTGACTGAATACTGCCCAGCGAATGTTTTCCACTGTTTTGATAAGACAGTGTGCACCCATTTGCACTACTATTTGGTTTGGGGGTCATTACATCTGTCTCAGGAGGCATCTTAGCTACTTCTAAAAGTTTGCTTAATTTTGAAAAAGAGCCAGGTTTCTGGAGAAATAGATTTGTGTTGTCTTTTTCTTTAGGATCTTCCTTTTGCTCACAATGATCTGGATTTGAACAATTTATTGTATCCTCAGAAGTCTCAAATATTTCTTCTTTGATCTGGATACTTTCGGCCTTTTTTAGTTTTTCTCTTTCTTTTGCAATTTCTTCTAGTCCTACAAAATTGAAAAGTATTATGAAGATCAGTGACTCGCAATCAAACCAATACTATATTTTATTACTATTTATCAAGTTATATGCATAAATATTTTAACAAACTTTTCTAGATTACTTAATACTCTCTGGTTTTTCCTTTTTTATAGACTAGACTTTTTTGCTCATTGAAAAACCAACGTGATTTTGTAATTAACCATTATAAAAAATTAAAATATAAAAAATATTAAAAGTCCTAACACACAGCAAGAACTATTATTCACATTTTTGTATAAATCCTTCCAGTACATACACATTTAAACCTATAAATTAAAAAAAGGAAATCCTATTATATACGTAATATTCTATCCTATATGTTTTACTGAATAATACTCTGTAAACATCCTGATATGTCAATAAATATATAACTACACCATAAATTTTAATGACTATAGAGCATTCAGTGGACTTGATCATAATTTAAACAACTATCTTCTACTGATGGCTATTAATAGGGCCCAGTTATTCACTATTATAAACAATGCTATAAATGATGAACGATCTCGTATCTGTATCTTTAGACTTAAAATTTTTTTTTCTGATTTACTTCCTTAGGATAAACTTCCAGAAAAAAACTTACTGAGTCCTAAGATATGTACTTTTCAGAGTTTTTGAAATACGTCGTCAAATTGCCCTCTAGAAAGTCTAATCAATACAAATTCACACCAGAAGTACACAAGAGCCTCTGTTTGCCTACACTCTCAACAAAATTGAATACTATCAATATTTTTTGTCTTTGCCAATATCTGGGAAGTGAAAATCTAAATTCTATTTTTTTCTTATCAGTAGTAAGGCTGAATATCTTTTCATAGCTTTATTAATATTTCTCCTTTGTGAACTTCTGGCTCATATTTTTGATCAATGTTTTAAAAATAATTTATAAGAACTCTTATAAAAATATAAATCCACTACTTTATTCAATTTGAGAAGTAATATAATTCAAGGTAAAATATTCAGTAATGAGAGGCTTAACGTTAACCCTTTCGGCTCTACTCCCTCAGTCCCTAGTTTTATTGTTCAGAGGTAACCAGGGTTAACCAATCACGTCAATACATCCTTCTGGAAATCTCATACGCATATATGTGACTATCATTTTGCATTATTACATAAATGGGATACTACTATTCCTTTTTCTGCAACTTAGAATAAAATCCAAACTCCTAAGCAAGGCCTACAACACTATACGATCTGGTTCCTGAAAACCTCTACAACCTCTGGCCACCCTTGTCCTTGCTAACCTTGCTCTTCCTTTCCCCCTTTTCTCAGCTTCTCAAACCAGCTAAGTTCTTTCCTTTCTTGGGGTCTTTGCACTTGCTGCTCCCTCTGCCTAGGATACTGTTTTGTTGACTGGCTCCTTACCCTTCACGTCTCAGATTAAGTGCTATTTCCTCACAGAGGTTTTCTCTGACCATCTTATGTCAAGTAACGTCTCCATCCCATTCACCTTAGACTATCATTCTACATATTTCCTTTGCAGAATTTACCATTATACACAACAGCTTTTTGTTTGTTTGTTTTTCTATTCCATCCCCCACTCACACACTAGAATGTAAATCAACAAGCTTTACTCAAAAGCAGAGCAGTGACTATCTTGCTTATTATTGGATCCCAAATGCCTAACATGGTGGCTGCTATAAAATAGAGGCTCAATAAATATTTCTTGAATGATAAAATAAAAGGATAAATTCAATATTTTTACTATATATCTTAGACAGCTTTCTATGGCAAAACATGTAACTGAACCTCACTCTTCAATCAGCTACATAATTTCTATTATATAGATACATCATAATTTATTTAAGCAATCAGTGATTAATGCTTGAAATAGCTTTCAAATGCTTCTCTTGAAATTAGTTTCTATCCCAAAATAAAATCCTATACCTCAGACATATGCTTCTGGCCAATATGGAGTAACAGGGACTAGATTTACCCTCCTGCATGAAACAACCAAAAAACAGACAAAATATATGACACAGTTTGTAAGAAACTGGACATCAGACAACAAAGACAGAAAACAAATGCAGTAAGCCCTGTGAGTGCCCCAGCTTATCGCCTTGCATAGTTTCCAGGCTATAGCACAGGGAGGAGGAATCCAGGCAGAACCTGGTCGACTCCTTGAGATGAGGAGAGAGACCAAAGTGGCTAGAGTGCTCAGGGGAGAGTACTAGCGAGGAGAGACTGTGTGGAGAGAGAACTCCAGAGATCTACAGAGGGACCCCTCGAGTATTCAGCTGAGTAACGATCTGTGCCTATGTGTGAGGAATCTACCTGAGACCAGGAAAGCACCACCTGAAAGGATTAGAGGTGACAGTGCCAGGTGCTCACACAGGCTGGGAATAGTACCTGTTCCTACCAACGAGGCTGGGCAAGCTCAGGTAGAGGACTCAGAAGGATCTGGCTTTAGTAGTTAGGGGATAATTAGCTCTAGACTGAGCACTGTTCCAGTCCCGCCTAACAAATTTTAAAAGCAAGACCAAAAGGATCAAACTTTTCCCAAGTAACTTAGCTGTTTCAGTTAAAAAAACCTCAAAAATATTTACAGGGATTCAAAAATATCCATCACTCAACAAGGTAAAATTCACAATGTTGGGGATCCAATTAAAAGTAGAAAGCGTGCAAAGATGCAGGAAAACATGACACCTAATCAGAAAAATCAAACAATGAAAACTGCCCCCAACTAAGAAGACAGTAGAATTAATAGGCAAGGACACTAAATTTGAAAAAATAATGGCTGAAAAACTTCCAAATTTGATGAAAACTATAAACCAAGATCCAAGAAACTCAACAACCTCCAAGCAAAAGAAACATGAAGACAACTATACCAAGACATATCAAAATCAAATTGCTCAAAACCAATGATAGAGGAAATCTTAAAAACAATCAGAAAAAAATCTTGTACCTCATAGGAGCTTTATGCATTTCTGCTCATTTGTCCTGAGAAGACCACCCTACTTCATCACCTCCAATCAGGCCCATGTGAAAATAGTTACAAATATTCTCTTCATATACCCATGCTTACAAATTTCCTTAACTTAATATAAGTTATTGGCTACTAAGGAAGTACTAGTATTTGTCTTTGATTTATTTTGAGAACTATTATCTCAAAAACCATTGTCACATATCCAAAAACAAATAGATTAACCAACCAATCAACCAATTCTTATTGATTTGAGACCCACAGATAACTTTCCATTTGTATCCAATCAAGTAGACTGAGCTGATGATACATTTTAATAGCCTATTCATGGTTGTCTTTAACTTTTATATTCAAATTGCTTAATTATAAACAGCTAAACCTCTAACTAAAATGTAAATATTATTTAAAAAAATTTGAAAATGTATATAGGATGTTTAGGATAAAGAGATTCTTTCATTTTAAATAGTTTTGTGTCCTATTTCACATAGTCCCCTGTTCTTTGCAGCCCTTACTTCTTTGACGTGTGTCACTGAGTATTAATAAACATCCTCAAAACAGACTAAACAGGAGACAAGTAAGAGATGAAAGAGGGAGTGCTCATCACCTGATTAGCTTTCCAGCTAGAATGGCAAGTGCATAATGACAAACAAAATACCATTTCCCAATTAAAACAAATCCTAACAATAGCAAGTTTGATATTAGAAAGAGACTACATCTTCCTGAGTTTTATCAGAATCACTCTGAACCCTCTCAGTTCACCTAACAGTTGTCACTGGACCCTAGGGGTCCACCACTCCCAGTTTAAGGGAAAATTTTTTTCCTTTGGCTCTCCTTAGTTGGGCTGAAGCAGGCTAAGACTTTCAAATAGATTTTACTAAACTCCAAGTGAAACACAGAGTAAGAACGCAAGAAAGGTAAAAACACTGGCATTTAGAGTACAGGTCTCTGTTCAGTGGCTTCCTCCCAGGGCTCAAAGGCCCTTACCCATTCAGTATAGCGTAACTTCAGGAGTAATTTGATGGCACCTCCACGGTCTCCATGTCAACAGTGCTACCACAACCCAGCTCCTAGGAGACATCTTGCTATTACTGTGGAGAAGACTAAAGGGAGAGATTCTTATCATGTCCATGATAAGATGGACAAGTCTTACCGTATCCATCTAGGATTGTTTCTTCCCAGTCTGATCCAGGAATTTTAAAAAAGATGAGTGATACCATAATACCTTCACCCTTCAGGTAAGATTCCCCCACATATCCATAACGGGAATTACATTTTATACTTATAGACCTAATGCTGTAACCATACCTTAATGCAAAATGAAAGTAACATTCACATCACAGCTTATACATATGATTAACAACAAACTTGTTTGTTTTCCTTATAATATTGAATAAATTATCTACAATCTAATATACCCCAAATCGTTAAAACAAAACAAAAGATAGTGAATTGAATGAGAAAAAATTCTTGGTTTTAGCTGAGTAGCCATGGGGGCTTTCTTCCTTCCCACTTTCCCGAGGGCCTGCAGGATAGCAGGGACTTTAGCCAGCTAATGTCAACACTGTTCTCAGGGCCCTCGGTACGGAGACTTTGACTCTTGGTGTGCATACCCCCAGCACTGTTCCTAGACCTGAAGCTTCCCTGATATGTTTACTGTCACTCAGAGAAACTAAGAGCTTTCTACCCTTTCTCACACAAACCCATAAATATACAGAAAGGTGCAGGGTATAGTGTTTTGTCTCTTGAAGTGTTCTTGTCACACATCCTAGTCCTGCGGAACCAGTATGGGAACTGAGAGATTCTATGTATTGTTACTTCTCTGCTTTTAAGTTGCCTTCACTAATCCACTTTGCTGCTATTAGCACTATGTGTGTCATTGGTGGTTTTTGTGACCACGTATCTTGTACAACAGTTGGTATCCAACAAAGTCCTGATATCATGGATTTCTGGAATGGAAGTACCCAGGTGTGGAAGAATTTCTCCTTGGGGTCAGTGGTAATTCACTTGGTAGAGTTACAACGGTCTCAGAAGCGATGCCCAAGGATG